AAACTCATAAACCAGAGCTGAGGACAATTATTTATAAAAACAGGATTCAAAACAGACTTGTAGAAGTGGACATTGATTTTTCCTGCTTAAGCACTTCCGCCTCTTGACGATATTTTCTAGCAATTTCACGCAATTTGATAATGTTTGTCGCCTTTCCCTCGATATTACTGGCTTGGTTCTCGACCTGTGCACTGAATAAATAAAGCGAAATAGCGGTACAAGTAGGGAATCTATAAAAATTAATAACAAATTAATCATTAACATTAAGTAATGAAATTGATCAATTATATCAGCTTTTTCAATGGTCGTTTGAAGGTATTTCGCTAATATTGGAGTGGAAATTATAAGTGATATCAGACAGCTGGAAGTGTGCAAATATAAAAATTCAAAAATCTTTTAGGAGTACAAGATAAAATGCTTTTTGTTAGGAGATATCCATATCCTTCAAGTTCTATCTTTCAAAATATCGAAAATCCAAAATATCAGAAAAAAATGCGACCTTATTAATTAATTATGAATATCTATATGCATTTTTTGAATTACTTAATTATCACAACCTTGCCCCATTTGAATTTGAAATAATATCTTTTGATGCTAAATCAATATATGAAGAAGAAACACGTCTCTACGACAGACACGTAGGGGGCTCGTGAATATAAGGATGTGCATCAGAAAGCTTATAGGTCTATTCCGAAAAAACCCTTTAGGGAAAGTATCTACTCAGGCAATTAGATTCATAAATTCGGACACATCGGTATGGGTTTCAGACGAATGTAAAAGAAGATAAATTGTGATTTATTTATTGTATATTATGAGTAACACTTTGGAATGTAGAACAAATTTAAGGATATAACAGATGCGTTTTTTATGAGACTATATTTCGAGACTATCAGCACTTCTTCAATAAGAACTTATTCATTCTAGATAGTTTAAGATGATTTATAAATTGAAATAAGAGTTTTTCCCAAAACAATATGGATATATCTCATTGTGTCGTTTAATTTAGACAATACTATTTTCGATATAGCCAGGGTCACATAAGCACTACTAACGGGATTCGAAATCATGTCATGAGCTTCGTGGCGAACTTGACCCCTCAGCCACATAGCCATAAGTATCAAAGATTCACAGACCTAATGTAACTTTAATGAAAGCCAGGCATCCCCCTATCACATTTATTGGGATTGCTTATGTAGAAAACGTTAATATTTATCATGAAATGACCTTAAGCGGCCTGTGATAAAATTTTCAATCAAGAATAACTAAATTCCACCAAATAATGCGCAAATTAAAAGAAGATATTTGTACCTTTTTGTTGATTTATATTTATACAACAAAGTTCCTAGATAGGCAATAGAGCCAATTTCCTATTTTATTCATCGTGCTTACAGCAATAAACAATCCATAACCGCTTGGTATCTATCTGATGATTTATTAGATGAATCTTAGCATAAAAACCAATTGCTGCCAAGACATATTTAGCAATGTTATCGATCTTAATGATAATAGCATAGATTAAGCATAGTTGCCAATGATCCCATCTATTATCAATACTCATTAGCATAAAATATACACCAACTAAAATTATCTTTTAAATGGCCCCCAGGGAAAAGAATGCTTAGATTATTTTCCAGTTTGCAGTCATAAAAAAAGTCAGAATGAAATAGAGCATTACGCATGACTGATAAATAGGAGTCAGTTAAGCAACAAGTAATAAATGAATAAGTACTCTAATCAAGAAGTTAAGGCCATCGAAAATACTTTTATCGGAAACCTATTTCACTACATAGTTTAAATAACCTGATAGCCTACTTACGCCTATCCCTGCCTCTAACAAAAAAAAACAATATCTAACGAAAAAGCAAAAAACACAAAATACCTGAGCGAAGAGATTTTATTGTCCAAACTCTGTTTCTCCAATTCCACTTTATGTAGTTGACTTGTAAGTTCATTAATTTGCTGATTGGCTGCAGCTAATTGAGTGGTAAGATTGGATATTTTCTGAGCCGATTCATCTTCTAAACGGCGAAGTTGACGTTGAAGTTCGTCGCGCTCATTGCTATGATAAAACCAAGGAAGATATTAATAAATACATTGAAAGGCGTGTGGATAACTAGAATAAAATTGAGAAGCTATAAATTTAACCAAGGCAGGACAAGAGTGGATCTTCAAGAGATAAGGCTATATAAATTTACAGGCCAAAGCCCATATACCGTATTCTTAGGAGACTAGCCCAAGTTCGTTAAATTTGATAGAAACGCAGTACTGACCACAAAGGTAAAACATGATGCAAATTACCCCTTCTGATAACTGTCATTTACGGGTTTAAAAATTCGAAAAGAAAAAAATTATTAGACTTACTACTTAGTATCCAAAATGTAATTTATTGTCATAACCTAAAAATAAGTAAATCTACTTTTTCGTTTATGCAGCATTGCAAGGCAACAGGGAGACTGTCCAAGGTGTCAAGATCTGTTTTCTCTGAGCATTGGGTTAGTAAATTTTCATACGTAGCATCAGTCCTCCCTTTCTTTTGTGCTAGGCTGCTAGTTCGGCAACTTATTTCCTCGATTTTATTAAATATAACCAGATTTCCTATCTGGACTTCTCAATATCTTCCAAAGAGAGGGTTTAGTAAAGCGGTTTCACCTACTTTATGAAGAGTTTTTTGATCCCAATTGGTTTCTCATTCGGCAAGTCATTTATTCAAACGCGTTATATTGAACTAGAAACCTATAATACATCAATTTTGTCTATTATCCACAGAACAAGTCCCGAACGTATGATGGAATATGAAGCTAGCCACACCAGTGATCCCCCATGTATCATACTTTTCTATCCTCCTGTTCCTCACATTCCCTGTTGTTCTTAATACTGTTTTTCTTCAGACCAACTAGTGTGGAGATCTACTGTCTCTCCCATCTGCATACCCTTTAAGCATCACATGCCATGTTATCCTACGTTAACGATCTCTATAAAATTTCAGTTTGATCTAGTCTTGAAGCTCCACTTTACTGAATTCATTTTGCAAACATTGCTTAGTGGATGTTATGCATAATGCTAAAGCTCATACCCCTCATTAAGCCAGTGTACTGGGAGCAATTGTTGAAGTTACTTCCATTTAGAGTGAGCGTTTGATGAATAGGTTCAAAATTCGATCCCACCAGAAGGAAAGGGAGGATTTCCTATGGCCAGCTGTTAATTGGCTTTACTGAAACACTTTTGCTCACGCTGTTTAAGAGACAATCTCCTTCGATTCCGGTAAAAACATGCTAAGCTTTCATACTTCATAAGAGAGAAATCATCAGAGCAGAAAGGGTTTGCCTCATATATAGCATCAAGAATAATGCACAAGAAAATGTATGCCATATCGTAATATATCATTCTTACAACGATATTCAAGCTAAGCCAAGATAATTCAGCGGCTTATCCAGAAAAGCAATAAATATACCCAAAATTGATTTGGTCAGTTCAAATTATATATCAATCTCCAAGCAAGTGTGTGCTTATTTGTCTGCATGTATTCGCATATATATGAAATCTGCAATAATAGCTCGAAGCCATTAGAACGGAACGCAATACCTGTTCTCGGTCTCAAAGGTTTAATAACCACTATTACCCCCTTTTATTTATATTTTACCATCATTCCGATTGCGTAATGTAAGACACACATAAAGTGTTGATGGGCTTTTTGCATTTAAAGAAAAAAATGTAAAAAGAAGTACAAAAAAATTATCTTGCTAAGAAAAGGCTTTTGAAATCGTCTCCTTTATTCAGGTGGCTCAACAGCTTATCTATCCTTGACTCAATCAAATAGGCAAAAGTATTTCTTAATGGTATTTCTGACATTCTATGTATTATCTAATGTCATTGATGTCTCTAGTTTTTCGCTTAGTTGCAGACGTACCATGATTAGCAAAATGAGAATTTGAGACCCATTACTCTCATGTCCAGTTTTTGTCCTGCGCTTCACAAGATATAATTATTGAGCCAAGGCCTACATAGGCACTTTTGCTTTAGCTACCCTTCGTAGAATGGAACAAGTCTTTCCAAAATAAGTGACCACATGAACACATTATAGTATATCAACCTAAGCCAGATAAAAAGGTAACGTTCTCTTTAAAAGTTGACACAATAAAAGAAAATGTTTACTTAAAGCTATTTTATACCTGTTGGAGTGCGTTTAATTTGCTTAAAGAAGAGTGGAAGGGATTCGTAATTTGGCCTTAACGGAAGCTGTAGGTGGGGTTGTCTTATGGCTCTGACTGTAGATTTATGTGAATAGGTACTCGGCGCAATGCCCTGCGAATCTGACTAATGTTTGTTGAGCTTTCCTGTCCCATTTGGCGCACATCATCAGAGCAGGGAACTATGCTTATCGATAATTCACTGGAACACGCAGAAAAGAAAGAGGATGCAGCTGTTCGATCACAATTGCATCCTTTTCACGCTTGATCCGCAGCCACTAAGCTTGACTTTCGATGAATAAATTGGGATAGCATTGCTGTGGCTGGTCACCTTTTTTATCTTCGCGTTTTGGTGAATTATCGTGTGACCTTCTGTTTTGTCACAGTCTTCTTTTGCTCTATAATGTTAATGCGACCTCTTTTTAAAACTTGGACGAAGCGTCTGTAACGAATCTAGTCCTATGCCCACTGTCGGAGCATTCGTGATGTCCAGCATCGAACTAAATAACTTATTACATTCCCAAACGTTTCGCTGGCATCGTCAGCACATAGGTACAACTTATCAAAGTGACAATTCACGTTTCGCTAGACCTTCAGTGAGCATTGCCATTCCTAGCACCACACTACGAGTCAGAGACAAGTGAAGTCGATCCTTTGACCAATTGTCTGCTAAACAATTGTAGTAACTCTCCTCCTGTCTTAGACTATTCCCCTTTCATTAATACTCGTATCACTCCTTCACTATCACAATTTCTTAATATCTTATCTAAATGTGGTATGATGTGCACTTTTGAGCGGATTTCATGAGACCTCTCTACACCCCATGTTGACTTTCTAGCTCCAACCCCCCACCGTTTCGCTGGGAATGTAGATCTGAGTCCGCTATATTAGTCCGCAATCCTCTTCCCATAGTTCCTATCAGAAACCCCCCTCTTGCCCCATAGTAACAGTCCCTGGTTCAGGTATTCTACCTTACCCCTGCCATCCTATCTGTGCTACTCGAGGCGTTATTTCCCACACTCTACCTAATGCCTTCGATGGCACGTATACTCCCGCCTTGCCGAGTAGACCCACAAAGTCTGAATTCTCATGCTGGATTGCAGACTAACTTAAGGCTATAGATCCCCAACAATTCTCATGGTCAAGCCTTTGCTTGAGGGACCACGTCTACTGTTAGCCAACTAGCTCCAGTCTCCGTCGCCCTAGTCTCTTGTGTGCTAGCGCACAAATGTTGTAGTAATACTTGTTTTGATCTGACTCACTTCATACGTCTTCTATTGGTTTACAGTTGTTACATTTTGGTCTCCTTGCGATTTTTTTTCCTAAAATTAAAAGTATTTTCTTGATCTAGTCATCTTCTTTTTGTTGATCCTGATATTGTCTGATCTCCGAGTTTGCTTAAGCAGTATGCAAAGTTTTTTGCTTACCCCGCCTTTCTCAAGTCTTCTGTTCATAAGATTTCTTTCAGTCAGTATATCGATGGCCTATTGGATCTCGTGTTTTCTCGTATTTCCACCAATATGCAGCCAGCCTTTTTGCCAACTTCCAGTCGATCGTATCATCCGCGGAATGTGTATATGTATTTCAGATCTTTTCGCATCGATGTTTTTATAGAGCCTTTGATGTTCCTTGATTCGTAGACCGATTTTTCTTACTGTTCCACCAATATACTTTTACTCACAGTTGTCGTATTTGATGCGATAAAATCCCGAGCAATGTAGTATGTCAATCTTATTGCGCTGTCTACAGACTGGAGAAAAGCGTTGTCTTCCCCTGTTTATAACCGCGATATTCCATTTTCTTAGCAACTGTCGAAATTTTTGGCTCGGCTTACAGTAGGGGAAGTATCTGATCTTATTTTTATAAAATCTAAGTCGAAATATACTCTTTATGACCTCTATATTTCTTCCAAATATTTGCTCAAAGATACTACAGTCAAATTTAAAAGAGTTGGCCCTTATTATCAGGTTTATCAGTCGTGCCTCCATAATATCGTCTTCTTGTTCCAAGAGCAACAACAGTGCGCTTTCCATTTCCTCGCCTGAGATGCGTGTGGACATGGATTGTACGTCAAAACCTATAAACTGTTATGTTCCTTTTAGTCCGATGTTTTGGATCGTCTGAGAAAATGCATATGAATTCTTTATAATCTTTCAGAGCCTGTCATTTTATTTCTTGATCTGCAAGAAAATTAATTTCACTAGTTTGTATATGCTCATTCTATGTTAATACTGGTTGAATTAATTAACTTAATGGACAAGCTGTCAGAATAGGCTAAGAATAGTATAAAAAGGAAGTGATTCCTCATTTTGTTAAGGTAATTATTCCAAAGAAATCTTATGACTCGACTAAGATCTCTAGATATTTGCACCAAAATAATCTGTTTCTTTTGAAGCAAGATAAAGGTACTCCGAGGTTGACTGGAACTAACTAAATCACTTTATATGTCATCAAAGAGGCCAAATACTAAGTATATATATACCGCTTTTAAGGAATGAGCTGGTAAGTTTTCTTGACTCTGTAGCTTCAATTTGATTGTAAGGATGATGTTCAGAATAAGACGTACAAAGGTTTATCAGGTTTTCACCGGAATCGAAGAATATTATCTCGGAAATAACATCAACAAGAGTCTTCCAGTATAACCAATCGATAGCTGATCAAGAGGAATCCATCGTCGTCTTTTAGTGGGATCAACTTTCGAATCTCTTCACCAAACACTTTTACTCGAAATAGAAGTAAGCTCAACAATTATGAATTAAGAGATTCCATAAAACCCAACTTCTCTTCAAACGATGTGCCCTTAGAAATTTCCCAATATGACAATAATTTTCAATAAATTATGAATGTTTATATTTGCACTCTTATCTAAGTTTAGCTTATATATGCTCCTTTGACCAGGTTTATTAAGCCCATTCACACTCCCCACCACAATCATCTCGTCTCTCTCTATATATATATTTTAATCATCACTCCGATTGCGCTCTACGTCTGGCCATGCTGATGAGCATTTTTTCGTCTTCAT